CATCGTTCCTTTGGGAAAATGGATTCTAAGTGCCCCATAACTAACTTACAAATAGACTTTTGAATCATAGTCCATTTGAGAATAAGGAACTGTTTGTGATAGTAATACCTCCGATTGGCTTGCCCCAGAATTACACAGAAGGGACCTATATTCTGCCACACATGTGTGGTGAGCCGAGCTCGTCTGGGTTTGATCAAAGATTATTGCTGAGTGGGCATTGAAAGCGTAGGAATTAAAACCAAAGTAGAGACTGGGGACAAGTCAAGGGTAGAGCTGGAAGGATGGGTCTGGAGGGGGTTTAGTGGTAGGAAAGGTTTTTAATCTCAAAGGCACAGGTGTGGTTCTGAGCCGATGAAATGAGGGGAGAACAGGTGACTAGGGAGGTTAAGTGTAGAAAACATTGAAAACAAAAAGGCTAGGATAGGAGGAGGAAGGTGAATCAAGAACCAGTCATTTTTTTTAAACCTGGAAATATAAATTATGTTTTAATTGGTTTGCAAATATTCTTATTAAATTAGAGACGGTGAGTTATACCCTTATCTCTTTTATAGTTGATATTATTTCCCATACATTTTATAGATTTTACTGAAAAGTGTTAAATCTAGTGGCATTCTTTAAAAAAATGAAAGAATGTCATTTGTAGCAATATGGTTGGATCTAGAAATTATTATACTAAGTGAAGTAAGTCAAAGACAAACACCACTGACATCACTTATATATGTCCATGGGGTCGCAAAGAGTCGGACACCACTGAGCTACTGAACAACAATAAATACGTGGAATCCAAAAAAAGATACAAATTATAAATGAACCAATTTATAAAACAGAAATAGACCCATACTCATAGAAAGCAAACTCATGAAGAACCGGTAATTTTTAAGGAAATATAATGTCAAATGTACCAGGAAGGATAGCTCATGTCTTCCAGACAAACAAATGCCTGTGAGACCTATAAATAATCTCTTAAAGATACTACACTGAAGGATTAGCTGAGACACATTCATTCATTTACGAAGTCAGCATATTTACTGAGCAGCTGCTCTGGGCTCGCATGATCTGAGTTTGGCAAAGGAAGTTTCTGCCTTCATCAAATTTACAATTGAGTACAGTTCCAGCCAGACTCAAAGATGAGCCAGAGCTGGCTGGGGCAGAATGTTGGTGAGACCTATACTCTGTCCGTAAGAATATTAGGTTTTTTATTCACTCTTCTGTGTGTGTATTTGCTACCCTGATGGTATAGTAGGACTTCTGGGGATATAAGTCCCCCAGAGTGTAGTAGGTACTCGAGTAACCACATCTTGGTTGGTTGATGGTAATAGGTCTGACTCATGTAATTGCTTAGTTGAACCCTTCTTATTCATGGGGAAACTTGTATTTGTTAACGTACTGCACTCTTTACTAGTGTATGAGAAATTGCCCAGTCAATGGAATATGAACATGAAATCTCTCTCTTTTTTAAAATGTGTTTTAGTAACATTTAGTGTTCTTACTGCAAGTGGAGCGCTTGGTTGCCCTGTTTTTACAGGGTATAGTTCAGCATAGCCAGTGGGCGCCACCCACCCCAATGGCCATGCCCTGCTCTCCCCATTTCCATGTATTCATGGCCTTGTCTCCCATGTTGCACATATCTGACACCACCGTTGCCACACTGGAGCAGAGGCCTCATTCCAGACAGTAAATGTGATGGGTTGTTGCTTGTTCAGTGACCATGTCCTCCTGGTCCTTTCATCTCTGCGTCCACTACTCCAACAAGAGTGCTGCAGCACCGTGAATTCACCGAGTGACCTTCTGTGTTAGCTCAGGCTGCTGTCACAAAAGTACGTAGTCTGGGGGCCTACACAACAGGAGCTCTCTCCTCATAGTTGTGAGAGCTGGAAGACCAGGACCCAGGAGTAGAGCCAGTGTCTCGTGCGGGCTTTCTTCCTGGTTTGTCTTCATGAGGGTTGAGAGGGGAAGGGAGAGAGAAGTTCTCCTGTCTCTTCTCCTAAGGGCACAATGGGGTTATTATGGGCTCACTGAATTCTGTCCTTTGTGCGTCTTATCTCGGGCCACTGTCCGGCTTTTCTCCATCTTGAACCCCCAAGGTTGCACAGTCAGGGGCAGCTGTGCTGGCTGATGGTTGGATGGACTGCAACACCCTTTAGATACTGACGCGGCAGGTGACATTTTTGGCCCATACCATCTTGGGCCTAGTTGGTTTTAACCAGTTTTATTCTCTGCAGCTTCTTTCTAAAACTTAAGAGAAGAGCAATTGATTGACATTTGAGGGAGGGTTTGGGGTATGAAGGGCTTCCCTGGTGGCTTGGTCGTTAAAGAATCCACTTGCAATGCAGGACACCTGTGTTCGATCTCTGGGTCAGGAAGATCTCCCAGAGAAGGCCACAGCAACCCACTCCAGTGTTCTTGCCTGAATGCTATGGACAGAAGAGCCTGGCAGGCTGCAGTCCATGCGTTTACACAGAGTTGGACACGACTGAGTGACTAACTTTCACTTCAGGGTATGATTCCAGGGGAGCAGCCGTGGTAACCCTGGAGCACGTTTTATCAGCACATTTCTGCCATCATGTGCCCTTTGCTCAGACTTCTTCTGGGCCCACCCCCATTCATGCCTGAACCTCTGTGGACCACATCTGCAAACCCAGTCTCATAACTGTGGTGAGAAATTTCCCAGGAGGGTGTTCTGGCCACTGTGCACTGACCCCGGCAGGCATGCTCTCCAGAATTGCCTGGACCTGTCTGAGTTCCCCTGGAGACATCTCCAGACTGCCAGGCTGGAGTTTCCCTAAGTGGCTGGAATTGTCTTCTCTACCCAAATTCTGAAGGACAGGCTGTTGGCACAGATAAAGTAAACATAGATGTTTTGTTTGAGATTCAGAATTACACAACTCACCAAGAGTAAGAAGCATAAAGTGTCCTTTATTTTTATTTTTAGTAGGAGTCCATTTAACTTTTTTTCTTAGAGCATTATTTTATGACTTCCTCTATTACCACGTTGACAAAGCAGGTCTTGTCACGGATGGCATTTATTCACTGCCTGAAGTGGCAGAGATGTGTGTTTTCCTTGATGTGGGAAGTTCTTATTGAATAAATAGTAACAGGAAGAGGAATGGGTTTGACTGGATGCCTATTATATGCCAAGTGGGTTACGCTGAGTAGCTCATTTTTCATAAGAAGGGCGCTATGAAGTGAGTATTCTTAGCTTCGTTTTACACTTGAGGAAACTGCTATTTAAAGAGGTTTTGCATCTTGCCCAAGGTCACAGAGGCAATAAGGGGAGAGTTGGGACCGGACCCCAGGACACTTGGCCATAGAACGACAATTGTGCCTTAGATATATCTTTTTTAAAATTAATTTCTACTGGAGTACATGTAAATCCATGGCTAATTCATTTCAATGTATGACAAAAACCACTGCAATGATGTAAAGTAATTAGCCTCCAACTAATAAAAATAAATGAAAAAATATATATATATAAAATTAAAAAAAAAAATAAATAAAATTAAATTAAAAAAAAATTAATTTCTACTGGAGTATAGTTGCTTTACAGTGTGGTTAGTTTCTGCTACTTAGCAAAGTCTTTTTGACACTGACAGCCTCCTGTTGAGAAGGAAAGCTGAGCAGTCAGACAGTAGAAACCGCTTCTCACCTTGTGATGGTGGCTGATCCTCAGTTTAACAAGGGGTAGAAGAATTACAGTTCATTCTTCATGTTTCTTAACTGTACTCTATGTTATCAGATGACAAATACATGTATATGTCACTTAATAGCTGAAGGACAGCTGTCCAAATGAGGAATTTCAGCTGACTGGTGTGCATCCCTGATTAATTTAAAGCAGGTTTTTATTATGAACCCAAAATATCTTCTTATATTTGAACTGGATATCCTATTCGTAATCACAAATTCCCTAGGAAGATCAGAACATCCTTTTTTTAAATCTTAAAAATGATTCTATAATGAACTTATGGTTGCTGGAGGGAAAGGATGAGGGGAAGGGATAGTTAGGGAGCTTGGGTTAGACATGTATACACTTTTTCTATTTAAAATGGGTTATCAGCAAGGAGCTGCTCTATAGTACAGAGAATTCTGCTCAATAGTTACACAGCAGCCTGGATGGGAGAGGAGTTTGGGGGAGAATGGATACATGTACATGCATGGCTGAGTCCCTTTGCTGTCCATCTGAAATTCACGCCATTTTTAATTGGCTATACTCCAGTACTAAATAAAAAGTTTTAAAAAGTGGTTCTATGCTTCAATTCCTTCTGATAATAGATATGACACGAAAACAGTTACTCAGGCTGGTAGTAACGTTTTGAAAGGTACTGGTGATTTAATTTGCTTGAATATTTTTTGTAACATGAAAAAAATTATCAATTCGTTTCTCACTCTGATGATCCATGAAGAAAAATGGTTTATTCTGCAGATCTCAGCAAAGAAAAGAAAGGGACCTTTTGTGTTATTTTTATATCCTCTAATTTCTTTTGCATGCTTTGAACATGACCTTGTGTAAACTGAGAACTTCTTGACATTTAAGTTCCAGCAACATTATCACCCTCACCCACCTCCCAAAAAACACTTGTATTTATGGAATCTCCTGTTCTAGGAACACCAAGAATAATGTGTATGTAGGTAAAGGAGGAGAGAGAAAGTTAGTCACAGGAACCTTAGCAGTTAAAGTTCCAATGGAAAAGAATTCAGATGCTCTAGGTCAGCTGAAGATGGCAACCACGGTAGGTTATTGTAAGTTACACTATGGGGATGTTTTCACCCATAGCACAGACCTAGGCTGTGGTCTGTTGTAATATCAATGCATCAATAGGCCAGGTTGAGCTCTGTTTGTATGTTTCACATTATAGGGGGCATGTTTTCATTTTGGGGAACTTACTTTGGATTTCTGGGTCTTTTTTCTGCTGTTTAAAAGCCGCTGCTGTTTCTGCTACCCTGAGCTGTAACACCCCGCCTCCCCTCCCACCCCCCCCCCCCCCCCCCCCGCCTTGTTCCAGGCCACGCGGGCGGCCATCACCCAGCGCTGCGCTGACCTCGGGAGCCTGCTGGGCAAGGAGAACGACGCGGCCCTCATCATCGACGGCCACACCCTCAAGTACGCGCTGTCCTTCGAGGTCCGGAGGAGCTTCCTGGACCTGGCGCTTTCGTGCAAGGCGGTCATCTGCTGCAGGTAGGCGCCAGGCGGCCCCAGGGTCGCGCTCTGACTTGTCCATGTCCTTCGTTTATGCAAAAGAACCGCACGTGGGAATTCTAAGGGTGAAGTTTCGGGGCGGGAGGGGGGGGAAGCAGAGCAACAATACAGATTCAGACGTCCGTTCACAGATTTTGTGGAGGCAGTCAGTGGCTTTTGCGTTTTTGTTTTCTCTACTGTCTTCTGAGAAGGTAGAGGTGATCGGAGCCAGGCTGTCTTGGCAGGCACGCCGTGTGTCTGTGAGGTGCCAGCACCCGAGGGCGTCACTCACTGTCTCACGCGGAGCCGGAGGTCACGGTGAGAGTGTCACCATCCCCGGCAGCTGCCGTGATGGCCAGGGAGCCACCAGCCCGCCGCCGTGGTGAGCAGAGACGCGCCAGACACCACCGGAAACGACACGGGAGGTCTGGTAGGCTGTGAGGCCCAGCACATGTGCTCTAACGTCATGGTTTTTCAAAGGGAAAGCGAAAGGAGCCCGTTTGGGTTTCTCAGGGGAGAGCAGGAGTGCCTTCCAGGCTCTACGGGAACTCGCGCTCCGTCTGCCAGGTGCTGGACACCAGAGGAAAACATCTTTCTCCCCTTCTGACCATGGCTGCTCCCTGAGGCCTCTGTGTGTCCCACCTCACTGCATCCCTCACCGCTTCACAGGAAGGCGTTCACCCTGGAACTGGCACGGAAGGAGGAAATTTCAAATTAAATACCGTTACTGTCTACAAAATAGAAGCATTAATTGGAAAAAAAGAATAAAAGAACCTGGGATGGTGCAGTTTTACCTCCAGGAGATGTTTCTTGGCTGGTCTCACATTTAAGATTAAGGGGAGAAAAACCACATACTTCTCTTTTTTTTTAAAGCGCATCTTTCAGTTCCTTTCTCTTCATTGAGAATTTAAACTTTAATATGTGACTTCAAATATAAGGTTTAACCTTCCATTTAAGGTTGACCTTTTCATCTTTAAAATGTAATAGTTATCAAAGTTACCCTTTTCTCTAATAATAGAAGAAAATAATTTTTCACAGACATTGTTTTGTATAGTCTCCCAGCAGTACTGATTCAAAGACTGGCAGAGGCTGTGTAATGGATAAATACTTTAAAGAAATATTTTAGGCAGCAGAAAGAGGGAAAATGGAAGAATTTAAGATTTTTCTGAGATTGGAATCACACTATTTTGCTAATTACATATTGTTATACTAAGATCATGGCATCCGGTCCCATCACTTCATGGCAAATTGATGGGGAAACCACGGAAACGCTGACAGACTTTACTTTCTTAGGCTCCAAAATCACTGCAGATGGTGATTGCAGCCATGAAATTAAAAGACGCTTGCTCCTTGGAAGAAAAACTATGACCAACCTAGATGGTATATTAAAAATCAGAGACATTTCTTTGCCAACAAAGGTCCATCTAGTAAAGGCTATGGTTTTTTCAGCAGTCATGTATGGATGTGAGAGTTGGACTATAAAGAAAGCTGAGTGCCAAATAACTGATGCTTTTGAACTGTGGTGTTGGACAAGACTCTTGAGAGTCCTTTGGACTGCAAGGGGATCAAACCAGTCAATTGTAAAGGAAATCAGCCCTGAATGTTCATTGGAAGGACTGATGCTGAAGCTGAAGCTCCACTATTTTGGCCACCTGATTCGAAGAACTGACTCATTGGAGAAGACTCTGATGCTGGGAAAGATTGAAGGTGGGAAGAGAAGGGGACAACAAAGAATGAGATGGTTGGATGGCATCACTGACTCCATGGACATGAGTTTGAGAAGCTCTGGGAGTTGGTGATGGACAGGGAAGCCTGGCGTGTTGCGGTCCACAGGGTCTCAAAGAGTTGGATATGACTGAGCGACTGAATTGAACTGAACTGATACCAGAGTATTTTTTCATGTGCTTAAAATTCTAGGAAAGTCATCATCTGGGCAGCAGTACATTTAGCGATCAGTGTGGATGACAGCTTACTGTTGTTGGCAGGGATGTTGGCATTTATTTATTGAGATTTAAAATGAATAGTCCACTAGGGTGTTTATTGTAGGCTTGATATTCATACTGTATGTTCCTGGGCATCATAGGAGAACAGAGAAAAGATTGGTCTTTGCTTTCAGTGCAAATGATGAATGTGTGTTTGTAATCCTTGCTTCTGGTATCTTCCTTTACTTCTCTTGTACTCCTCTCCTCCTTGAAATCAGGCCTCCTCCAGGAAGGCCTCCATCTTGTCATATGCACAGCCTCTCAATTTTTTTCTTAATTTGTCCTCAGCATCTGATGTTGAGAGTCACTGCCCATTGGATTCTCCTCTATTTCCATGACACCTTTCTCTTCTCCCTAGTTTTGTGTTTCCCTCATAGGGCCTTTCACACCAGCTTTGAGACTCCATATTTTCAGCTTTCACCTTTGGCCCTGTTGTATTTTCAACCCATGTCTCTTCAACACATGTGTTCCCTCTGCTCGTACGGCTCATCTATCTTCTCCATTAGAGATTCTCAATGCTAACTTCCCACTGGATCATCTGGAGAGCCTAAGACATTTTCTTTAAAAAGTTAAGCATAGAATTACCCCTGTATGACCTAGCTGTTCCACTCTTGGGTAGCTACTCAACAGAATTAAAAAGAGGTGACCAAGCAAATACTTGCGTGTGCATGTTCAAAGGAGCACTAGTTGTAATGGCCAAAAGGTGGACACAACCCAAGTGTCACTTGATGGATGAATGGACAAGCAAAATGTGGTCTGTCCATACAATGGGTGCTTTTTCAGCCATAAGAAGGAATGAAACACTGGTACATGCTATAGCATGGATAAACCTCAAAAACATACCCAGAAAAATAAGCCAGTCACAAAAGACTGTGCATTATAGGATTCCATTCATGGGATATATTCAGAATTAGCAAATCCACACAGAGAGAAAGTGGCTTAGTGGTTGTCCAGGACTGGGGGGAGAGGAATCGGGAGTAAGTGGCTGGTGGATACGGGTCTCCTTTTGGGGATGATGAACGTGTTCTGAGACTCCACAGCAGTGATGCTGCACACAGCACTGTGAATGAACTGAGCTGTTACACTTGATGTGGTTAATTTTATGTTAACTTTGCTATTGTCGTTCAGTCAGTCAGTTGTGTCTGATTCTTTGCGACCCCATGGACTGTAGCACACCAGGCTTCCCTGGCCTTCGCTATCTCCCAGAGTTTGCTCAAACTCATGTCCATCGAGTTGGTGATGCCATCCAACCATTTCATCTTCTGTCATCCCCTTCTCCTCTTGTCCTCAATATTTCCCAGGATCAGGGTCTTTCCCAGTGAGTCAGCTCTTTGCAATCAGGTGTCCAAAGTATTGAAGCTTCAGTTTCAGCATAAGTCCTTCCCATGAATATTCAGGGTTGATTTCCTTTAGGATTGACTGGTTTGATCTCCTTGCAGTCCAAGAGACTCTCAAGAGCCTTCTCCAGCACCACACTTTGAAAGCATCATTTCTTTGGCCTTCTTTATGGTCCATCTCTCACATCCATACATGACTACTGGAAAAACCATAGCTTTGACTATATGGACCTTTGTTGGCAAAGTGATGTCTCTGCTTTTTAATACACTGTCTACGTTTGTCATAGCTTTTCTTCCAAGGAGAATGTTAACTTAACTTAACAATATAAACAAATGAACCAAAGAATTCATCCATTGCAATGACATGTTTGTTGAATGAAAAAATGGAATGTTGAATGGAAGTTTTATTGATTCATTTGAATGAAATCTTTGTTGAGAAAATAAGCAAAAAAAGCCTGAGCCCTAGGCCCTATCCCAGGATAATTAATGTGGAATTCTAGGAATTTTATGAGCCTCTGGGTGGTTCTGATGAATAGTCAGGGTTGAGACTAGATGACCTCCCCAGTCTTTCTGTCCCGTGCAACCTCTCCCTTGAGCTCCAGCTTGAGAGCTGCTCCATCTGTGTCTGGGGTTCCTCACACTGACATTCTTGGGCACCTTGAGTTGTAATGTGACTGAGTTGGTTACTGTCCTCTGGGCTGTGCATCTCCTTATCCTTGCCAGTCTTCCCACTGGTTTTCCAGGTTTACTGTCTCAGTGGATGGTACTCTTCTCCATCACCAGGGCCTTTTTGTAGCAGAACAGGCATGATTTTATACCCAAGGAACTTTTGGAGAGACTAAACTACATAGACAGATTATGACATCGAGGTCAGAAATTGCAGGCTCAAAACTTATTCTTGAAAAGTGTTGTCTTGATTTTTTATAAGTGAGGAAATGAAAGCCTCAGACAAACTACATCATCTTGCCTATGGGTTCAGCAAGTGATGGAGGCATTATCCACTTCTGAGTCATGAAGTTGTCTGTGCCAGAAAATCAGTGGTCCTGTGTTTATTACTGGGACCAAATGTAAGGTTTGATTTTTAACACATTTTTCAACCCATAGAATTTGTTTAAACCTATTCAGCATAAAATTTTGTGGGATTTATCATTCCCCAGAGTGCTTCCCAGGTAGCGCTAGTGGTAAAGAACCCACCTGCCAATGCAGGAGACTAAGAGATGTGGATCGAACCCTGGGTCGGGAAGATCCCCTGGAGGAGGGCATGGCAACCCTCTCCAGTATTCTTGCCTGGAGAATCTCATGGACGGAGGAGTCTGGCGGGCTACAGTCCATGGGGTCACACAGAGTGGGACATGACTGAAGCGACTTAGCAAGCACACACAGAGGGATAGCAGGCATGTAGAAAATGGGTTGAAAGAAGGAATGCTCTGTTCTCTCTTCCCTGTTCCCATTACCTAAAATGACTATCTATCTTGTTTTCTTATTTTTCCTTTTTCTGTGAAGCTCTTTATTTTGGAGAGCTTCAAAATGCAGATCAATTTTGTAAGCACAGATGAGAGTCTAGGGACACTTTGACTTCTTGAACTTTGACAAATTTAAAAGTTTATCTTGACAGGAAGAGAGTCATGAAAGAATCATCAGGGCCGGCTTTGTGAGGGAGCTGGTGGATGGCCCCACCGCA